AGAAGAAAAGTGCTCCTTGAGGAGGGAAGTCCGCTAGAAATCCCTCACGTGCGGCTTTTTCTCTCTCCATGGCCGCCACCCTGTCGCACCGAGGCAGCTCGGGTTCTACAACGCCGTAGCCATCCCCTGCTACACCACCCTGACCCAGATCCTGCCTCCCACCGAGCCGCTCCTTAAAGCATGCAGGTATGGACACTTAAAGTCATAATGTTCTTTAAAAAAAGACTAGGATTCTATAGAATTTCTCATTCCCTCCACGAAGGTGTTCTGTCTTAGGTACAGTTTATAGTAAGTGTACGGTGTTATGTGTGTGTCCTTTGGGGACAGCTTTCCAGGGGGTGGCTGAGTCAGCTGGGTGTCTGCAGCTCCAGCAGACAGTCATACAGGTCTTGCGAAATGCAAAGCACAGGGGCAGGGTGGGCCTGGGCCTGGGGCAGTGGAGCTCTGATGACTGGCCGGCAGTGGCGGGGCGGGATCTTTGCTCTCTCTTATCCCTGTCTTCAGTCTGGATCAGTTCCCGATGCTTCTCTCGTGGAGGTCGAAGCCGTTCTTGCCAGGGTAAGCTGCTTCCAGGTTTAGGAGAGGGCACCTGTGCCGAGGGCCCGGGGTCTCCTGCAGACCCCAGCAGGTCACACTGTGCTGCTGAGTGACACAGCGGCACCCCGCTGTTGTTCTCTCACAGCACGACGCCACACAGGTGTACGCGAGAAGTGCTCACGCATAGCCATGCCTTCTCCCAGGGGGCACGGAGTTGGTTTGTTTTGTTTTCCTTAGGTGTTGGCCCAGCCCAGGGCTGTCTTTACCAAACAGGGCAGTCCTGTCTGTTCCAGCTGCTTTTAGGAAAAGGGCCTCAGCTTAACGGCAGCTTACTGAAATGGGAGAGGGGTTTGAGTGGGCCCTTCCTCTTTCCGTTTTCAAAAAGAAATGTGCGCCATCTGCCCTCTGCTCTGGCTTCAACGTCGCCCTTGCCTCTCTTCATCTTATTTATTTACTGGCTGAACTCACTTAAGAATGTTGGAGTGGTTAGATTTCCACTTTATTTTGAAAATTCATTCCCTCCGAGGAAGGCAGAGGCAGCGTCCAGGCAGCAGGTGCACGCTTCCCCTGGGACAGCCAGTGTCCAGTCCTTCTGCTCCCAGCCATGACCCCGCCCTGTGCAGAGGCTCCCGGAGCACTGCAGGACAGCAGGGGAGAGACAGTGGCTGGAGAGTTTTAGGCAAAACCAAGACCTAAATAGCACACTCCCATCCTCTGCTATTGAAACTTACGGAATTTTTTTAAGGAAAACAAACAAAATCAATAACCAAGGACATCCAAGCTGATCTTGTACTCTTCCGCTTTAAGAGGGGCGTCTCTTTCCTCTCTGCTCTCAGGGGCGCAGACCTCATGCCCCAGCTTCTTTTCTTGCACCTTAACTACCTCACCAGCAGTCGGTGAGCCAGCCCTTCACTGTCACCGAGGGCTGAGGCACGTGGACAGGACGGAGTGCGGGCTCACCTCCACGCAGTCAGGCTGTAAAGGAAATGCCCCCGAAGAGAGTTGGAATGCCAGTCTAAATCCAAACTGGATTTAGGGCACAAAACTAGGCACTACTCAGAGGTCCTTTCCTACCCAAGAAGTTTCCACATTGTGTGTTAAATATTAAGAATCCAGCCGAAAGAAGTCTTGCTGCGGCCAGCAAGCACCAGAAATCGGAAGGGATTTGAGGCACTTCAGGGGACCGAGTGAGGGCCCGATGGTGGGCTGCTTGGGGGCTTTGATCCATTCCCGCCTCAGCCCCCTTTGCTGAACCACGTCATCTTTCAAAGGCTGGAATTCATCGCATGCCGTATGTTCGAGGAAGCATACCAGAATTAGTGCATGTCTTCCCCAAGTATCAGGAACCCTCCAGGATCCACGAACACGTGACCTGATGATCTGAAATCTATACATGAAAGCACAAAGTGTGTGCTTTGGGGGACATTCTAGGGACTTCTCTTACCCAAAACCTTCTTAGTATATTTGGCAGAAGAGTTCAAGGAAAGAATTTTCAAGTTGGGTTTGTGTGAGTTTTGTGTTTGCCAGAGCCAAGGCTTCTCCTGGTTTGGCTTTGCATGGGGAAGCCGGCCTGCCAGGTCTGCCAGAGCAGGGCAGGCCTGTGGGTCATGACCCCAGGGTAGGACGGTCCAGGCGCCTGTTACGGCCACAGTAAAGGTGCTGGGGAAGTCCATGCCGCCCTCCAGGTGAGAACTCACCAGGACGCAGTCACTTTCTCACCCTAACGAGCAAATTCTGCATGTTTGGACCAGGAAGGGCTTCAGGCGCCTGCAAACAAAGGGCATAGCATTAAAAGAGGGTGCACCTGGCTTCACGTGTCCTGTGGCAGGTTCACAGGCTCCCAGGAGCCACGCTTTCCCTGTGGGCATGCTAGCAGCCCAGCCTTCCCCGTGGTGCTGGCCGTCCTGCCACTGTGGCGGCCCCTCCTTCATCCTCAGATCCCTGAGCAGCGGCTCAGCTGCGCTCTCTGCAGCTGGGTCCTTCTGGCCGACTCAGAAGTGGCAGATCCCAAGCTCCAGCCCTGCCTGGGGACAAGGCGTGGCTCGATGCTCCTTCTGGAGCAGGCTCTGAGGCCGCCTGACCAGGCACACTTCCACCGTCCCGGGCAGCACGCCTGCACAGGTGCCCCGGACCTGGTTCCAGACTGGTGGCAGTCTTTGATACAGGGCCCAGAAGTCCTTTCAAACCTGACCTGTCACTGCCTCTGTCCTCCCTAGGGATAACCTTAATCAATGGGAGAAGGTGATCCGAGGGGAGGCGAGTGCGGACTGGATCTCAGCCCCGGCCGCGGCCCCGGAGGTCTCCGAGAAGCTGCCTGTGAAGATCGATGACTGACGGCCGGACCAGCCATCTGCCCGCAGAGTCTCATCTTGCTTCTTTGACTTTTTAATTTTATTTTTTTGGGGGGGAAATCTACATCTGGTAACTGGGGTGCAAACCTCTTCAAGAAGGCAACATCCAGTAAATCTGCCAGCAGGTGGCTTCCTGCAGGTCTCGTCCCTAACGTGTCACCGTGACCACGAGGACCTCCTTGTGCTGATCCAGCCGCAGGCCTTGTGATGCCATCGACTTGTGGACCCACCTTTTTAATAGGCTGTTTGCCGAGACCTCCCTGGGAATGGACAGAAATTATGCAGGAAAGGGATATTTCGCCGTGGCATCTTTCTGGTGAGGGTCTCAGAGGTACTGTTTCGCCCCGGACTTGATGTGACACCAGTGTCATTCTGGCACTCTTGGTCACGAGCAGGAACTTTGATGTCCGCCGTTCCCGCCTGCAGCTCTGGGCAGTGCCACGGAGGGTGGGGCAGGAGGGACGGGCAGCGTCCTGCGTTTGGAGAGGTGGGCCCAGACCTTCACCCGCAGGGCTGGGAAGAGCAGGTTAGCAGTGGGGCCCGCCCCGAGCAGAGCTGCAGGGACACAGCGAATTACAGGGCGGCGAGTAGCGCAGGAGACGGCAGCGAGTCGGTTCAAACTTCTTTCTTCATTGTAGTCTTGGCTAGCTTACCCCTTTGAACAAGCAAAAGCAAGGTACACACATTTTTTTTAAAGGTCAACTCTTACAGACATAAAATGTGAATTTTAAATAATGGTTCCTTTATACTTTCACTTTGTGTCATTGCAAAAATTATAGACTCACATTCAAAATGAAAGTTTACTCCAGAATTATTTACCTGAACTATCTTGCATTTCTCTCGATATCAGATCCAACCATAAATTAAGTGTCCTGTCATCCCCGTCTACCTGGGGCAGGTACCTCATGGCTCCTGTCATGCAGCTGGGCCCATGGCAGGAGCAGGCACCAGGCAGCCTCTCTGTCTTCCCTCCTGTTCCAGATCCAACTCTACAGGGGAACTTGGCTGGCAAAGTTTCTTCTGTAGAGTGTTTGATAATGTTACTCTGTAACAATGTTTGGAAAAGCTACAGAAACAAATCTGACCCCTTCCTGCAGAGACTCTAAGGCAGTCCCTTCTGGGGCATATTAATATTTCACCAGGCCTGTGGGTGGTTCCAACCTGAAGGAACCAGGGAGAGGTGATCAGTTAGTCCACACAGACAGCTCATTCACTGTCCATATGGCGGGGAACTGAACGTACTTCCAATCAAATAAAATGTAAAAATACATATTCAATACTGTACACATTGTTGTTCATATAAGCTTGGTTTTTGTAAAATTAAACTGGAGGTTTCTGCAACATAGTTTAGTTATGTTGTAGCCGAGTGGCTATATATAAACATTGTTCTTATTTTAGAATTAACACTATGTGTTCAATTCCCTTATGGGCTTCAGAAGGCTGCCATCTTCCCTATGTTTGTTATTGTAATTATAGGATATAAGAGAGGATTCCACTGTGGCTAGAAACACACCCACACATGTGTGTTGATATATGTAGACACATGCACATAGAGGTATATATGATACACACTCATGTATGTAGACATGACGTGTGTGTGTGTGTGTGTGATATATCCACTCGAATATGCATAAGAAAGAGAAAAGGGGAAGATAGAAAGAGGGAGAGAGAAGCAAACATGTAAGAAAAATGGAAATCAACTCCATTGTTCTTACACAGTGATTTATTTGTGTTGGGAAATACTGTATTTGCTTGGTACTGAGTTGCTGGAAAGTATGTTTTTCCCGTGTTAGTGTGTTCATAGAGCCGAATTCTGAAGAGTTGCGTGTTTTTCTACATACAAGTCTACCCAGCTGGATCCCACGAGATGCAAGAACAGAAGTTAACTTAGGGCCTAACTTACCTTGGAGACTGGATTGCAGGGAGACGATGGAGAGTGTTGTGTTGATGGAAGGCTGAGCTCTGCTTCTTGACCCAGAGCAGTCGTGAACAGGCACCTCAGTGCTGCTTTCGCATTGGAAGGCTGCCTGTCTGACAGGATCCTTGCAGGACCTCCTCTTAGCATGACAGGCCATGCAGATGTCTTCTGTTGCGTGACTTTGACTCGCAAGGGTCCCCCCAAACATGTGGCTTGTCGGTTGGTTGATTCCTTGTGACGTGTCGTCATAGTAAAGGCAGTTTGAACGGGGACAGTGCTAACGTAGGCTGCTCGGTGTGCTTCTGCTTGTGTGGGATTCACTTGGCAAACGTAGTACCCGAGATGAAAGCCCGGGACGGGTGATGGTCCTCTGTTTTGGAAGGCATGCAGTGAAGAGTATTTTTGTATTTTGGCAGATACATTTAACAGGCAAAGTTCTGAGCTGTTTCCTATCTTTTTCCTACGACTTTTCTTAAAAGGACAGTGTGGTAACAGAAAATAGGCAGACGGTGGTTATTTTACCAGAAGTCTTGAGGGGTGTCTCATCAAGGCAATGTTATGTATTTGGCCAAATTTTTCTCATCCAGATGAAGTTTAGTAACCAGCTGTGAGCATATGCAGAGTTTTCAAACTGTAGAAATCGGAATTGGTTATATTGATTCATAATAGGCAAGTTTTATGGTCACATGCAACCGTTCTGCTATATATCCACTCGAATATGCATAAGAAAGAGAAAAGGGGAAGATAGAAAGAGGGAGAGAGAAGCAAACATGTAAGAAAAATGGAAATCAACTCCATTGTTCTTACACAGTGATTTATTTGTGTTGGGAAATACTGTATTTGCTTGGTACTGAGTTGCTGGAAAGTATGTTTTTCCCGTGTTAGTGTGTTCATAGAGCCGAATTCTGAAGAGTTGCGTGTTTTTCTACATACAAGTCTACCCAGCTGGATCCCACGAGATGCAAGAACAGAAGTTAACTTAGGGCCTAACTTACCTTGGAGACTGGATTGCAGGGAGACGATGGAGAGTGTTGTGTTGATGGAAGGCTGAGCTCTGCTTCTTGACCCAGAGCAGTCGTGAACAGGCACCTCAGTGCTGCTTTCGCATTGGAAGGCTGCCTGTCTGACAGGATCCTTGCAGGACCTCCTCTTAGCATGACAGGCCATGCAGATGTCTTCTGTTGCGTGACTTTGACTCGCAAGGGTCCCCCCAAACATGTGGCTTGTCGGTTGGTTGATTCCTTGTGACGTGTCGTCATAGTAAAGGCAGTTTGAACGGGGACAGTGCTAACGTAGGCTGCTCGGTGTGCTTCTGCTTGTGTGGGATTCACTTGGCAAACGTAGTACCCGAGATGAAAGCCCGGGACGGGTGATGGTCCTCTGTTTTGGAAGGCATGCAGTGAAGAGTATTTTTGTATTTTGGCAGATACATTTAACAGGCAAAGTTCTGAGCTGTTTCCTATCTTTTTCCTACGACTTTTCTTAAAAGGACAGTGTGGTAACAGAAAATAGGCAGACGGTGGTTATTTTACCAGAAGTCTTGAGGGGTGTCTCATCAAGGCAATGTTATGTATTTGGCCAAATTTTTCTCATCCAGATGAAGTTTAGTAACCAGCTGTGAGCATATGCAGAGTTTTCAAACTGTAGAAATCGGAATTGGTTATATTGATTCATAATAGGCAAGTTTTATGGTCACATGCAACCGTTCTGCTACCCTTCCAGACTTGGCGAATATCATTTTAGCTATGTCCTTGGAAACATAGCTGCATGCCAATGGCAACATGAAACACTGATCTTGGGCAGTGTAATAAAATCCGAAAAGAACTTCAAGGATCTTGTTAGTTAGTCATCAACTCTGTGAACTAGTTAACTAGAAACATTTGAAAGGCAACCAAGTTGTGTGGCACCCAGTTCTCAGGACTGTCCCTCTCCCTAGGGCAGGCAGTGTGGTCCCTTTCCCAGCCTTATTCCGAGGCCCGTGAGAAACATCGCGGACCAGAGACCACACCCCGGACTCTTGGCGGGGCAGGGTCTGGACAGGGGCTGCTCCATGCATCAGGAGGGTGTTTCCACAGAGTTCGTCTGAGGTTTGCTCCATGTAGGTTTCCTCTTCTTAGCATGCTTTTTCGATATTTTTTAAATTTTTGTACAATTTCAATGCATTTTGCTTTGTCGGTATGGTCATGCACACTGAATGTGTTTGCACAGGGCACACGTGTTTCATAAATCCTTAGATACCCGGGTTGTTTGTTCACTGGGTTTAGTTTTGGGCATTGTGGGTTTTTCTGGCCTTTTAATCAAAGTTAAGGTTTGAGCTTTAACAGGACTAAATTACCCCTATGCTTGGCCTTGCCTTTACTTTAAGGACTGCAGTTCCTCCTTCCTTCCTGGATGTTTTATTTTGCTTTTCTTGCTTAGTCTCATTGAAGACATTTCAGGGGGCACACTGCAGTTCGTTCCGTCGAGCTGGGTGCATGGCGCTCCCTCTCCTTGTCAGACTTCTGTCCCCGTTTGGCTTCGTAGACATAGTCCCCCCGGGGACTGTACGCAGGAAGGTTCTGATTCGGGCTTTTTGTAAGAATGTCCAGGAACAGTGATGCTGACGGGGTTGCAATTTTGTCGGGTCTCAGACCCATGAGCACAATCGAGGTTTTGAAAATCGCTCCCATCTCTGTATATTTCAAATGCGCACTCACCTTCTACACCTGCAAATTGCGCTGAGGTCAATTCTTTAAACTCATCAGTCATTTCAGCGGATCCCTTCTATCGCCAGTCATTGGCCGTCAAGTGGCTGAGAACGCCGTCACCCTGGTCTCCCAGGGCCCGCCATCTCCTGGCTGTCAGATTGTCATGTGTGCATATTGATCCTGATGCACATTTTAATGACTTCATTAAACATTTATGTTTAGATTAAGTTTAAATTAGCGATACTGCATGCAGTACACGTAGGGTTTTATATTTTTTGTCCTTTTTAAACTGGATGTTTTGGTTGTCTGAAGCATTAGATACATTTTGTATGATGATAAAAATGGCAAAATAGAAAGAAGGAAGAAGAAGAAAAAAAATCAGTGGTGTTCTGGCTCCAAATTAAGCGTACTTTTAAAAAAAGAAAAAGACGTTCCTGTTACCCAATAAGCCCATTTGAAATCCATAGAAGCACAACTTCACTGAGCCCGAGGATAAAAGCCGTGCTTTCTAGTTTTAACTCACCTGCCTGCTCTTCGCTGCATGCAGCAGGACGCGGTCTCTGAAAGCACACAGACCCCGGCATGTCTCCACGGGCACGGAGCAGTGTTACTGGAGGGCGCGGGGAAAGCTCACACTGAATCCAGGGGGTGCCGAGGGAAGGAGGGGATTGGTTTACGTGTTTCAGTTTCCAGCTAATATTTTTGAGGTGCTGCGTGTTTACAGAGGTCGAAGTGGAAAGTTTTTGTTCCGATTGTAAGTCAGGTTTTACAAATGTACTATCTAATCCTCCGGCCCTCCTCCGTATCCTGAGAGCGTGGGCACGGCCACCTTTGCTGTTTCCTGTAGCCACTTAATTCCAGCCCGATGCGCTATCTCAAGGGAGCCTCTGTAAACGTCGTGTGGGAATATCATTGTCCGTGTGATCTGATGTGTGGCCAAGGTGCCGAGTGTTCGTTAGGTTTGCAAATCGGAAGTGCAGCAGACTTGCCCAGGGAAGGGATCTCCACCTACCAGAAAGGACGTGCTTGCCCACAACACTGTGAAACTGGTGCCACCCTGTGCACAAACGCAGGTCTTGGAACTCTGTGAGAAGAAAGGCAACCTTCTCTACACGAGCAAACGAGCGAAAGGGGGCGCGGTCCATGCCACGCCGAGACCGTGCAGCTCGCTGGTGTGTCTCCGCGTTGAGCAGAGGCTGAGGGCAGTGCAGCTTCCTGTGCCAAACCACAGCGCTCGCAGTCAGCCGGTTCGGGAGCTCGTGGCTCCGTGCTCCGAGTTTCCAGAAGCTCTCTTTTGGAAGGAGAAAGAATTTCAAGTTGACAGTATCCAACTTTATTACAGTTGATGAGTTAGTAAATTTTGAAAAATGCTTTTATAAGTATGACATAAAAATCTTTGTAAAATGCACAAGTGCAATAATTTAAAGAGGTCTTAACTTTGCATTTATAAATTATAAATATTGTACATGTGTGTAATTTTTCACATATTCATTTGCAGTCTTTGTATTGAAAAGAAATCTTTACAGTTACGTTTGTATAATAGAACAGTAATCATTTATTATAACCTAGGTAAGTTGTAAATAAACTCATAATTCCAACAGCCAGTATATATGCATATATGGGTGTTACATTGCAGAATCAATATTTGTTTTACCTACATGCTTAGAGTGGCAAGAAATCTTTTGTCCATATGTAATTATACATATAAAGTATATATATGTATGATACACAAAATATATTTAGAAATGTTCATAATTTTAATGGATATCCTTGGTGTGAATAATTGAATACAGTTTTTAAAATACCATCTTCCATGCTCATCATTTGTTGTCTTTTGTGGGAAGATAAGAGACATTTCCTAACGGTTCATATGAAAACACTCCGGCTTTGTGGCCGGGAAGACACCCGGTGACATTGAATGAATGAGCTTTGTTTGCTTCAGCCATTTTTTAGCACAAAGGATGATGCAACATGAAACGTTAAATATAATGATGATTTACTAACTCCACTGTATAGAGTTTCTGAAACTGCTGGGAAGACAGGTCGTTTGGAATGGTTGCTCAGGTCAGGGTGCTGAGGGCACGGGGCTGCCTGGAAGCTACACACGGAGGCCCAGGCCTCCAGGTCTTCTCCACCAAGCCAGGTGCACAATCGCTGGCTTTTGGGAAGGAGGTGCTAGGCAGGAAGCAGCACAGTGGGGGAGTGTTCGGGTTCTGTGCTGTAATAACACTGACTAGGGCCAGCAAGTGGCATGGTGGTTAAGGCACTGGACTCCCACATGGCTGACTGCAGTTTGAGTCCCAGACTTAGTGACTTGAAAATCACGCAAAGGGTGTGTCCATTTGTGCCCAAAATCTTAAGTGGAGAATGGAGAAGGGATTACAGCATGGCCATCCACCCTAGGAGATCCCCCTTTCATGGTCTCTGACTGCCTCTGGTGTGTGCGTGCACCCTATGGCAAAAACAAAACCAAACCCAAAACACTATCTGAGCCAAGCGCTCCATAATCTGTGTGTAATGAAAGTATACTTGTGGATTTATCTTTAAAAATAGCTCTACTTAAAGAAATTGTTTTATTCTGGCTCTTTGCTCTCATCAGGTGGGCAAGCAAATGGTTTAAGGTCAAAAAGCTGAAGGTCAGTCATATATACAGACCCTCCCCGATCATAAACATATTAGAAATAAATTTGGGAGTAAAAAGCAAAATGAAATAAGGTCATGAAATAAAGACTGCTACCTTGTCAGCCTGTGACTTAGAAGGCGAATTACTGATAGATGGTCCTCAGAATGGAATTCTTCCACAGGATCACAGGCTTCACCAACGGAAGGCCCTCCTAAGGCCTAGCGCAGTACATAGTGTAGGCAAGGTTTCTGCCAGAGACTCGCTTCCTGTGGAACAGAATGAAATGCTCCCTGTGTGGTAATACACTTCATGAGCTAATACGCCCATAAAAGTATTTGGTAAATCTGGGAGCCAGCAGTTAGCGTAATGGCTATGTCGCTGGACTCCCACGTAGTCGACCGCGGTTCGTGTCCCGGACCCGGTGGCTTAAAACTCACGCCGGACTCGTGTGCGTGCATGCCCAAGATCCTGAGAGGAGAATGGAGGAGAAGGGATTGCGGCATGGCCATCCCCCCTGGGCGGTGATTTCTCGCTTTCTGTCTCTATGTCTCTTCCCTGTCTGTCTGGCGAGCACACACACCCTGTAGCGAAAACCTCTCAAAAAAAAAAAAAAATTAAAAAAAGTATTTGGTAAATCAAGTGGCAAAGTAGACCTCTGTAAAGCTCGCCTGAACTGGAATCGGAATCCTCATTTACCCACACATTTGACTGTTGTTTCCTATCAACTTCACCGTTCATAAGCTCCTGACCTTTGAGGAGAAACATACCTATTTCGTAATCCAAAACAAATCACAGAGTCAACACTTACTATTTACTCAGCAAGTATGAACCGGCGAAGTGCAGAAGAAAGGACGATTCATGGGGAAGTGGGCATGACGTGTCTGCAGGTCAGGGTCTGGCGTCCTCCTCACCGGAGCCTTTTGTCACGAAGCCGTCACTCCCTACGAACTTGGCCCTTCTGTGGCTCTGTCTTCACTGCCACAGTTAGAAGAGGAAGGAAAACCACACATCGAAAGACCTGGAAATCTCAGGCATTTAACAAGACACTTCCAGAAATGTTTCAAAAACTGAGTGATTCTGCTCTCTTGAAACCAAGCTGGATGAGTCCAACTATGGAGGAGCACCCCCCCTTCCCGCCTCTTCCCACACGTTCGCCCACCCCACCTGCACAAAGGACAAAGTCACCTCTATCCGTGTTTTCCTTGATATTGAGAAGAAAAAGGAAAACAAGCAGGAAATAAAATTAGGAAATTGTTTGAAATACCGATTCCCAGTTTCGTAGCTCTAGTTGTGTATATTCAGGTAATGCCTAGTCTTCCTGTTGTCTGTGTCGGTAACAGGATGACCTCTGGCTGGGAATGATGCCCGTGAGGCATGGTTATTAGTTATTAAAAAAAAGAAAAGATTCAAAGATGTCCACATACACAGTGGCTGAGATGCAGATCTCTGTCAGGGAGGTGCGTTCAGCTGCTTCCCCTTGTGCTGACTGAAAAGCCACGGATGAGCACACCCCGGGCCTTGAGGTTTTGGTCGTTGGAGTTTGTTGGAATCCTGAAGGGTGGAGGTAGGGCTTGGAGGTCATTGGTACAGACTCCCCTCAGGGCGCACCCGGGTAAAGAGCACTGTGACATAATGCAAGCCATTGTGGGACAGCGGTCCCTATTTGCCAGAAAGTCCGGTCCAAAGTGGGCCAGAAAGCTGCTGCTTCAGGATTTTAATTCCAACACACTCCTTGTAGCCACCTGTAGAAGGCCGCTCCCTCCTCCCCTGATAAAGCTTTGATTATTTGAAGAAGGCTGTCTTGTCTGTCTCTGCTGCCCCAACCTTTGAACTGCTTGACAATAGGTTAAGGTTGGGACCAGCAGATGGCGTAATGGTTACGTCGTTGGACTCCCACGTAGTTGACCGCAGTTTGAGTCCTAGTCCTGGTGGCTTAAAACTTAGACCAGGCATACATGTGTGCATACCCAAAATCCCAAGAGGAGACTGGAGGAGAAGGGATTGTAGTGGGGTCATTGCACAGGGTGGGGGAGGGGGGAGGAGGGATTTCTCACTTTCTGTCTCTGTCTCTCTCTCTGGCAAGCACACATGCCCTATAGAAAAAAATCTCTCTAAAAAAAGTAGATTAACCAAGGTGCCTGTGATATTCTTGACATCTTCCCCCTAGAGATTCGTCAGTGGCCAACTGGGCCCTGTCTTACTGCAGAATGAAGGTCAATCATTAGCTAGCTCCCCGGGTATATCTGTGGCTGTCCCCCCTCCTTGGGCTGAGTCACCTGGAAGTCACACCTGCTCTCTGAGCACCTGTACTTTTGAGATAAGCCACAGAACATTCTCTCTGCGAGAGAAACTTTGCTTCCTGTTTTGTCAACTCCCTCCCAGACCTGGCTGTCACCGCTCTGTTTCAGTGCCCTGTCCCGAGCAGTGGTGGCTCTCTGCTGACCCAGGTGAGATGGGGTGGCAGGTACTGCCAGGCACTCTGAGCCCCACTGCACCAATGCAGCCCACGCAATTGGATGGCATGCATGTTGTGGCTCCCCTTCTAAGGATGAAAAGCCCAAGACTCAGGGAAGTTAATAGCTTGTAAGTGAGAGGGTACGCACCAGGCCTGCCAGGGTCGGAGCCACACCCCTGAAACGCACCTTGCTGCAACACCTGTGGTGCAGGCACGATCTTGATGGTGTAGACAGACCCCAGCCGAGCCCCCGAGTCCGTACTGCTGCCTCTTTGTAAGCCATGAGCCTTTGGATTCCTGCCTTAGGATCAGGGACCTGAGAGCAGGAGCTCTTGGCCAGCAGGTGGCATGGTGGGGAAGGCAGCTGGACCCCACATGGATGGATAGATGGCTGAGTGCCTGGTTCGAGTCCTGGCCCTGGTGGTATACATACCCCAGGCAGGTACACGCGCGTGCCTGAAATCCTGAAGGGAGAATGGAGGAGAAGGGATGGGGTTGTAGGGGGCCATCTCCCCCGGGAAGTGCTTTCTCCATTCTTCTCTCGCTCTCCTCCCCACCCTGGCAAGTGCACACCTCAAGAGTGAAAAGAAGAATGGGAGCTCACAGGGAAAGAAAGTCCTCTTCGTGTTTTCCAAATAAGAGTTGGAGGTTCACAATAGATAGCGTCTCGAGAGAAGAGCCTCCCAGGGCATTTAGAAGGGGACAGTCTGGCTCATGCAAAGTGTTTCCCTGAGGTCTTCCTGCCTGCAGCCCTGCGGTCCCCTGCACCAGGGCAGAAGGAAGGTGAGAAGCAGTGGGCTGTCCATGAGCAGTGTCCAGATGGGCCAACTGCTCCCCACCCAGCTGAGGACTGTGGGGGTGGGATGGGAATGGGCAGGGAGGGGGGAAGCCTGGACCTGACCCAGTAGGTCCTCACTGCCTGCTTTCCCTCCAGAGCTGAGTGTGTGCCATGTCCCGGGGGCCCCACCTCGGATCCCGCGTGGCCGAGGGGCTGCAGTGAGTGTCGCTGCAGCAGGGACCGTGCAGCACGCCTGAGCCTCTGCCCAGGCTCTGACCGCCCATGGGGACACACGCTGTGATGTCCGCCAGCAGCCGAGGGCCACATACCTCAGAGGCAGGGTCAAGTGGGGACACACTGCCCCAGTGAACATGAGCCCAGAGATGCACAGGCTGACTCAGAGGACCAGAATGTGGACAGGTGATGGAGGGGACACCAGCAGGGACACGACAGTAGTTCTCTTGATTATTTGCCAACACAGTGACACAAGGGCCCTCTCTGCCCCTGTCTAGGCTCAGCGGAGTGACCCGTCCTGGACACTGCTCCTCCGGAGGCTCAGGCCATGTGGGGGACCCGGGTTTGGTTCCCAGCACACCCTGAGCAGCTGAGCATAGTGACACACACCTGGAATCCAGCCACTCAGGAGACAGCTGGAGGATGGCGAGGTCACAGCTGTGTGGAGGACGCAGTGAGACCCCGTCTGATGAGCCGGGGCTAGCTGGGCGCCCCCATGGTCCTAGCAACTTAGGAGGCCGAAACAGGAGGGTGGAGACAAAGTGAGACCCTGGCTTGACAAAGAGGAGAATTAAAAGGAAAGAGAAAAATGAGTCAACCTCCCACCGCAGTTACCTCATTCTCCCCTGGTCCATACATCCAGAACTCGCCTGGCGAAAACTGCAGGACAAACGCCTTTAGTTCTGCAAACCGGAATGGAAGCCAGAGTGCATCCAGGAAGCTGTGACTCACCGGAGCTGACTTGAGCCAGAGGGCACAACTGAGTCTCCTTTGTTTGCAAAGTTAGGAATTCAGGTAAAATTAAACTCCGTTGTAGAAATAGTTCCTTTTTTTTCTCTCTTTTCGAGAAATTTTTGCTAGACAGCATGTGTGTTCACTGGAGAGACAGAGAAACAGAGAGACAGGGGAATGGCCACACCACAGTCACCTCCATTCTCCTTCTGGGATTTTGGGCACACACGTACATGCACCTAGTGTGAGTTTTAAGCCACCGTGTCCAGAACTCAAGCTGAGGTCGACCACGTGGGAGTCCAGAGCCTTAACCACTGTGCCTCCTGCTGGCCCTGAAAAGAGTTACTTTTCTTCACACTTAAATTCAGAGCCAGAAGCTCTGGGTATCAGCACATGGCCTAATGGTTACGTTGCCGGACTCCTACATAGTCGACCGTGATTTGAATCACAGACCTGGTGGCTTGAAACTCATGCCAGGTGCGTGTGTGTACGTGTCCAAAATCCCCAAAGGAGAATGGAGGAGAAGGGATTGTGGCATGGCCATCCCCCCCGGGGAGTGATTTCTCGCTTTCTGTCTCCTAGTCTCTCCAGCAAGCGCACATGCCCGATGGCAAAAATCTCCCAATAAATAAATAAATAAATAAAATCCAGGGCCGAGAACTGGAGCGCCACTGCACTGGTGCAGCATTCCGGTGGTACCGACGCTGCAATGGGACACGGGTGACGCCAGACGTCTTCTCATTGATGTGGAAGTACACAAGGCGGCCTCAGAAGTTTGCAGAAAAATGGGGTTAGAGTATGAATTTACTTCGGTGCAAATTTTGTTAATACGTGCATTTTTTTCATAATACATTTTCCATGAGCTTTTGAACACTTCCTTGCCTGCATCATGACATGAATAAGTCCCACGGGGTGCTATTATCAACAGCTGCTGCTTCTTACTCAGGGGATGCCAACGGTTCCCTCTGTAAGAGTTGCTTTGCTTCCAGAAGGAAAGTGCTATAGCTAGCGGGTGGCTCAGTGCCCTGTTAACATGCGCGTCCTTCTGGGTCTACTCAGAGAAACAGAACGTGGTGGGTCCCTGAGCGATAGACACACCCAGACAGATCTATCAAAAGGAATTGGCTCACGAAACTATGGAGGACCTGTCATCTGTGAACTGGGGACCCTGGGGACTGGCATTATAAGTTCTCATCCATGCCCAGAGGCCTGAGAACCCGAGAGCCAATAAGGAGGCGGGATAAGAATGATGCCTCAGCTCAGCTAGGCAGAGAGCACACACCCCCCCATTTGTTCCATTCAGGCCCCCAGGGGCCGGCTGAGCCCACCCACACTGGCCATCCATCCACTTTACAGTCTTCCTGGTATACACTGAGCAGGTGTATTTTTTCTCACCCAAATCCATATGCTGAAGTGTGATACCCAGAGTGATGGCATCTGAAGGTGCCTGCCTGGGAGTGGAACCTTCCTGATGGGCTCAGAGACCTGGCTCATTCTCCTGGGCCTGGGCAGGAACAAACCGAAGTCAGACATCAGCAGCCTGGAAGGAGGGCCTCACCAGAACTAAGCCACCGTGGCACCCTGGCTTCTGGCTTCTAGTCTCCGGAACTGAGATGTTTCTGTTGTTCATAAGCCATTTGGTTTATGGTATTTCGTTATAGCAGTCTGAGCCAATTATGACACCAATCACTCCAATCTCAGTCTCACCAGAGACATATGGACACGCCCAGCATAATGTTCAAATTTCTGGGCACCCCGTGCCCTAGTCCACCATCACTCCAGGGGTGCTTCATTCTTCTGTCTGGACATGTACATGACTCAGAAAAACACCTTCCAATTCACGAAGTTCTCTTTGAATATTTGACCTTCAACTTTGTTTGGTTCATCTTCATTTGCATTTGGTTCTTTTGTATTCCTCCAATACGTGCTAGAAATGCCAGCTGCCCGATTTCCTGGCCCTAGGGTGGCAGTGTGCTGCTGCTCTGCCTGCGGCCAGTTGCCTGTGTGTTCCTCTGCCGTTCCTCAGCCGTGGTGAGTACCTGGCGTGTCGCTGGCTCTGTCCCACACACTAGGCGACCAGCCGTGAATAGCAATGGCAAACACCTGCTTTGAAGGAGTGTACACTCCTGTGGGAAAGACTGATGAACAAGCACGCCGGTAACCAACGTGTCAGATGGTGGCAACTTCGATGGGAAATAGGGCAGGGAGAGGGGTGGACAGTGGTGGACAGTGAAACACATCGCTAATGAGATGGCATTTTTGCAGATACCTAATCAGAGTGGCCTTGGGTTAGGCAACAGTTTCTTAGGTCTGACACTCAAACTAAAAGCCACTAAATGATAAACCTTTGTGCTTCAAGAAAGCACAAAGAACCCAGACTGAAATAAAATACCTGCAAATTATATAGGTGATAAAGGGTTTGTATCCAGGATATATAAATAGCTCTGACTACTTAACAATAAAAATAAAATTATTCCCATTAAAAAATGGGAAAAAAATTGAAAATACGCTTCTCAAAACAAAACAAAACAGGGACCAGCAGTTAGCGTAATGGCTATGTCACTGGACTCCCATGTAGTCGACCGTGGGTCGAGTCCCGGACCCCGTTGGCTTAAACTAACGCCGGGGTCGTGTGCATGCGTGCCCAAGATCCCGAGAGGAGAATGGAGGAGAAGGGATTGTGGCATGGCCATCCCCCCTGGGGAGTGATTTCTCGCTTTCTATCTCTCTGTCTCTCTCTGTCTGTCTGGCGAGCGCACGTGCCCTATAGCAAAAACCTCTCCAAAAAATAAAAATAAAAATAAAAACAAAACAAAACAAAACAAAACCCGACACAGTAAATGGCCAATAAGCCATGGAGAGCTACTCGCATCGTCAGCCCTGTGCGTGCTGCTGCTGCCACCACTTGGGAAGACCGTGGCACCCACTGGATGGGGGCCGTTGCCTCTGCCCAGGCTGTTACCTGGAGGCCACAACTCTCCATCACTCCTGCTGCCGGCCTTTGTCAGTTACAAGTGCATGAGCTGGAGAGCCTGGGCAATCATTTTTCCCAAACAAGTGTGGCTCTTTTTGAAATCCCTCTTAAAGACCTGGCTGGCTTCAGGGCAAGCTTGAGAGCCAAGGGCAGTGGAGTTGAGGCTGCACTAACCTCCCGCTCCCCGTCTGCTGAGCCCCCCGTCTGCGAGTAACTCTAATAAACTCCTTTCAAGTGCTCTAATCATTATTGGTCTCAAAGATCTTTCCTCAAACAGTTATCAAGGACTTGCAAATCAAAACCATAATGACATGTCCCACTCCCTAGGACAGCAAACATAAAATGCTGAAGGTAACAGGTGTTGAGGTCGTGAAGAAATCTCAGCCTTCACACACTGTCTGAGGGACCGTACGACCACGCAGCCACTGTGAAAACAGGAGGGCAGTTCTTCAAAATGCTAAACACACAGTGTGGATGCCCCAAGGTATCGAAAGCACGCATCCACACAAAGTCTCGTGCAGCGTTGACAGGAGGCCAGCTTGGACCTGATCCGAATGCCCACTGGAGTTGAATGCATGGCAGCGTCTGCCCACAGCGGGGTGCGGCTTGTCCTAGAGGTGAATGGGGAGCACCGACGTGTGCACGCCATGCGGACGTTGAAGACGTCCTGCGAAGTGACGGCAGCGGCCCCGAGCCGCACGCGGTGTGGCTCTGTTACGTGGAGCGTCAGAGCTGGCAGATCCAGACAGGGAGGACACTACCGGCTCCTGGCTAGGAGGACAGCAGAGGAGGGCCAGCTCCCCTAGTGCAGCCGTTGGACCTGTGTGGGGCTGGATCCAACATGACCAACTGCGGCTCAAGTCCTGGCACCTGCGGCTTGAAAAATATGCCAGGCACATGCATGTCCTAAACCCTGACGGAAGGGAAAATGGAGGAAGAGGAATTGCTACACAGCCACACCCTGTCGTGCGCTCTTTCTCTCTCTCTCTCTCGTGAACACACATGCCCTTTAGGGGTGGGGGGGAAGTAAGTCATTGATTAGGGCAATGAAGGTGTTCATAAAGTAAGAGTCCAGGGCCAGCAGATGGCGTAGTGGTTCTCTTGCTGGACTCCCATAGGGCCGCCCCACAGTTCAGGTCCCAGACAAGGTGGCTTAAACTCAGGCTGAGCACACGTGCATGCCCCAAATCCCAGAGGAGAATGGAGGAGAAGGGATTGCAGAGGGGCCACCCCTCTCCTTCCCCCAGGGGGAACGGGGGCGACTTCTCACTTTCTGTCTCTCTCTTTTCCAGCGAGTGCACGAGCCCTATAGCAAAACTCTCTTTAAAATAAAGAAAGAAAGACAAAGACAGAGTCCGACATTACCTGTACAAGAGCACCTCGAGCCATTTCATGCCTTACCTGGGGGCTCACGGGGGGTGCTCTGAACATGGCACCCTGAAGCTGGTCGCCCGCAGCCTGCCTGGCCAGTCTCCTGAGCTGCTAGCACTTCAGCCCTGGTATTGCCCTGAATGGGCCTGCACCTTCCATTTAGGCCACCCTCCGCTCTCTGGGGCTCGGGGCTCGCACTCCCTGCTCTTCCTGCTGTACTCTGCCCCTTCTCAAAGGTGTGGTCTCTCCTGCTCCCTGAGAATAATCCTTTGATGAAACTAGAGCTCCAAAGAAACGGGAATGCTGTTATTTCAAAAGGCATCTGTTTTCTGCCTGCATCAGGACCCCTGGGGCTTGGGCTGAGGGAGGGAAGTCCAGAGGGGAAAGCGAAGATCAGCAGGGCTTGGCACTAGCCCCTGCTCCATGCTCCTCACAAGCCCATGCCCCCATGCCGGGCCAGCAGGAAGAGACCAGCTGTCTCCCAGCTGCGAGGCCAGAGCTGCGCCCTGGGGGAGGGGAAGCGGGTGACGAGGTACTTGGGAGATGCAGAAGGGAAGAACCTGCGAAGCTCCTCGGTAACCTCCAGGTGGCCGGCCGGCACCTCCTCCGCCCACTCTGGTATTTGCAGGGGAATGCCCGAGCACAGGTCCTGGGCAGCCTGGAGAGAGGCGGGCAGGCACAGCAGGGCCAGGAGGGGCCCAGGAACAGCGGCGCTGTGCTATGGAGCGGGCCGAACCAGCACCCTGATATGCTGCCAGCTCCGCGTTCTGTGG